GCATAAAAATCACACAAAAATAAATTACTTTTTAAAAAATATAAATAAATAAAGATAAGGATAAAGATAAAGATAGAAAAGGCTCAATTTAAGGTAACAAAAACACAATAATTCCTACATATTCAGGTGATTACACACTAATGAAAACCTGCCTTTCGCACTGGCCCTTTAAAACATTTCTCGAAGTAAAAAAAAACTACTTTTACTTTGAAACAAGGGATCTTATTGTGAAGTCCGGTGTGAGCGCCCTCCTCCCGGAAGTGTCCTCTATCATCTGGTGTGATACCCACTCAGCTGTGTGTGTGTGTGTGTGTTGTGTTCAGTAATATCTCTGTGTATGGCAGCTGGAGCTCAGGGAGCCGCACAGACACGATGCACAGCCTCACTCCTCATGTGTACTGGGCTCAGCGGCACCGAGACATCTACCTCCGGGTGGAGCTGAGCGATGCCAAGGTAGGTTAGAGTCCAGATCCACAACCACACCGGACCGGGTTGTTCCTCAGCCCTGAGCGTACACACACAGATAGTGATGTGTGTGTGTGTGTGTGTTTATTAAAGGCCTCTGAGGGTTTAGTCCTCTTACTGTGGAGGGTGTAACGTTGCAGAGCTGCTTTGGGTTTATTTCTCTAACCATTATTTGTAATGGCTGAAAGAAAAACACATGACTGGAAAGTATATTTTTGTGTTTTTTAGCTGCCTAACTAACACAATTTATATATATATTTATTTATCTTTCTTTAAAAAGCCTTTTATTTATTCTAGCAATTTAATTTCCCATTATGTCTTTTCTATTATATTATTGGCTTTAATTTAGCATTAATTGTTTTAAATGATTTGCCCCAGTGTGGTACATTTTGCAATATGTTTTACTATGAGGGGGGGGGGGTCTATTATTTATTAACTTCTATATCATTTTAATTCTAAGACCTTATTTCTGCCTTTAAATCCAGGTCCATGTAAGGCTTTATGTAACTTTATTTTGAAAAGTGCTGTGTAAATAAAGGTAAATTATTATTATTATCTAACAGGAATGGATGACCTTTTATTGTCATAGCTGCTGTTTGAATTAAAAACTAGAAAACAACACTAAGTGCCCCACTGATCTGTATGAGTGGAGAACAGCAGCTGAAAATGACTTCCTCTTTGTTCTGCACTCTTATCAACTCCACCACTTGTGATTTTACACACTTAAAACAACAAATATAGTTATAACAGGAAGGTGTTCAAGCAGCCAATCAGAACTTGTATTCAGAGTATTTGTCTTCAGCTCGTCACCGACTGTTTTAGTTTCATGATGCAGGCTGCTTGTTTGCATTAGTGAATAAATGAAATACAGCTTCTCCTCCTCCTCCTCCTTCTTCACATTTCCAGGTTCCCTTCATCATCGTGCATCTGTTAGACAAATGCCTGATAAAATATGCATGACTTTTAATGGTTGTTCTGGATCTTGTTTAGCCTCTTAGGAGAATTGCTTCATGGTAACCGACGGAGGAAACACCTGTCATGTTGGGCCAATTCAAATCGATGAGCGCAGACTGAATCGTGTAATGCAAATCGATTCATTAGCACCACATTACAGCCTCCGGAAATCCCTGTGAAGTGGAGTAAACTCTGCAGAACAGCTTCAACAAAAGCTTATTTTCATCTTCTTTAGACTCCATTACTGTTAGCTAGCTGTACCTAATAAACTGGCAGTCTTTTTATTTTTTATCACAGCCGACTAACATCATCCTGAATGTGATTGTGTTTGTTCCAACTTTTATTTGACTAATTATGGATGATTGATATTCTTTCGATTAACATTTTCAAACAATATAATGAAACCCTGCAGTACTCCAAGTAAGTACCCCCATTTATCACTAGAGCAGCAAAGTGTGTATTAATCCGCCACTGAAAGTAGTCCCCATAAAATGCACTATTTACTCCTATTAGAGTGACATTTTCTAAAAACTACAGTGACCAACTTTATATTTTTGTTTGTTTGTGAAGGTTTACGTCTTCAGGAGGAACACCGGCAGAGTAGGGAGCATTGAGAGACGTATAGTTGGTTTTGGTCTTTTCATGGAATTTGTTTTACTATAAGAAAAAAATAGAATATGACCAGTTTTCTAATTTTATTTCCACCTCGTCGGTCCCACATTACTCCTGTTCTCACATCCCTTCATTGGCTTCCTGTAAAATTCAGAATCAACTATAAGATCTTACTGATTACATATAAGGCACTTTATGACCTTGCCCCCAGTTACATTTCAGTTATACCCATATGTATATGTGTTGTTTCTTAAGCACTTTGGATCTCTGTGTCAAAAAGGTGCTATATAAATAAAGCTTTACTTATTTACTCACCTCAGAGTTTTGTCCGTTGTGACGGCTGCATTTGTGTTTTTTTTTTTTTTCAGAATCTCGACATCAGCCTGCAAGAAAACAACACACTACAGTTCAGAGGTTGGTATTTTATATTGGTGCATGAAGATAATATTATACAGCAGCTACAGTGCAGAGTAATGTGTGTCTGTTAGGATTCTCAAGTTCTACATGAAAAACAAAGTAAAGCTTTATATTAATGTGAAAATCTAATCTTAATATTGTTCCACAGCACAGGGCCACGGAGCTAAAGGAGATAATGAATACAGGTTCAGTTTGGAGTTCCTGGAACCTGTTAGACCCGAGGTATTGATCTTTCCATCTATTAATGACTAATTATTGATGACATTGATGGTTATCTGGAAATAAACTGATCCAGACGCCCGATGACTAATATCCTTCATCCGGTTAAAATATAGTTACAAATGACCAGCGTATGGTAAAAATGTGGCTTATAACTGGATAAACAGACAATTTATGACAGCTTCTGGCAGAATAAAATGACAGATTTCTCTGAGTTTGAACATTGTTGGAAACACTTGGGATAATGTAAGTACACAACTCATCAGTTCTAGTGTTTTTAGACATTTTAAGACAGAAATGTTCCATGTTATAGCTTTAAACTTACTTAAAGTGCATTTAGATGCAGTTTGCACTTGGCAGACGTTACTGACCATCAACATGCTCATACATAATCTTGTGTGAAGGAACAAACTGTTCACACAAGAGCTACTCACATTATTTCATTGCCTGTGTCTCAGTTAAGTTTCATATTCTAATGCTGTGTTTTTCAGATCAGCCATAAGTCCACCCAGCGTCAGGTGGACATCAAGATCAGGAAGCAGGTGGAGCGCTGGTGGGGCCGGCTGACCCTGCAGGAGAAGAAGCCTCTGTTTTTGGCTCCTGACTTCGACCGCTGGCTGGACGAGTCCGACGCCGAGATGGAGCTTCAGGCTAAGGTAATAATAAATAAACCCACGGTGAAGACCTCTAACTGAAACCTGCTGTTAGTCTGATATGTTGTGAAATGATTACATTACACATAGTCTTTGTCGGGTGTGAACAGGTTGGTTGTTGTAGTACAGCTGACGTGGCCTGTGTGAAGCTTTGTTTTTAGCCCCAGGTTGAGCCGGCCGAGACCACAGAGCTTTGCATCGCTCGTTGCGGTCTGGGTGTAATTTTAATTAAGCTGCTTGACAGTTCTCATCTTCGCTGGGATGTTGTGGCTTCACAAAGTTACCTCCCACTGGGCTAGAATATAGCAACTGTTATGGGAATGCTATACGTTTTCCTAAATGATCCAATAAAATCTGATCAACCTCCTCAACCTCAGGTTTTATTGATTAGAAACCAGAGGAATCTCTGTCTGTTTGAACCTATAAACTTGTTGTTTTGGTTCATTTGCTCCAATCTAATTTTCTTGCATGGGATCAATAAAGTTTGTCATTGTGCTTTTCTGTTTCAAGTTGGCAGTCAGATAAGAAACAGCACTGTATACTGTGTAGTTGTTTACACTGAGTAAATATCAGCTAGTTAAAACATGTTTATGAGTTTAGATCCTTGTTTTTGTTTGTATTCATTTTCTGATTTATTTAATAAAAGAAATTAGGATCTAATGATACATTCATATTCACCATATGAGACTGATGATTTCTTTCAGGAGGAGGAGAAGATAAACAGGATAAGTGTGGAGTCCAGAGTTCGTAAAGACCGTGAGTCGAGCTGAGCTCTTCACCTGCAAACAGAAACATTTCTAATTGGATGTCATTAACATTGTCTGAGACATTTACCGTTGATTATAATTAGTTTTCTCCTGTTTCCTCAGCCTACCTTGGGCTGAAGAAAGGCTACTTGTTCATGTACAACCTGGTGCAGTTTCTGGGATTCTCCTGGATCTTCGTCAACATGACTGTCCGACTCTTCATCCTCGGTCAAGGTTTGTAGGAAACCCACAGTGCAGTCAGTTGTTTACCTGTTTATTATCAGTCTCGCTGCACAAACCGTGCATTTTCTCAATTAATTGATTAGTTGTTTGGTTTAGAAAATGTCAGAAAATGGTGAAAACTGTTTGGTCACAGTTTGCCACAGTGACGTCCTCAAATGTCTTGTTCTGTCCACAACCCAAAGACAGTTTAGTGTCATAGAGGACAAAAGAAACCAGAAAATATTCACACTTCAGAAGCTTTTTCTCATAAAAATGACTCCAAACTGTTAATTTAATGTTAGACAACTAATCGATGAATCGACTACCATTGCAGCTCTAATATAAACCCCTTTATTAGCAAGTTAAACGTGAAGACAACTACTCACATATGGCAGGTTACAGTGAAAGCAGGAAGTCTGCTTGTGAACGGTGGCGTTTACGGATGTTTACAGCGGTAATAATTGTACTGTTCACATTTGTTTGCTCTTCCAAATAAGTCTGGCTGACCTGCAGGTTTGTTTACAACCTGTCTGAACGTCTGAGCGCTCATATTTTCTTTCCCTGTGTGACTTTTTAATTCAAGATTCAAGAAGCTTTATTTATCCCGAGGGAAATTACTGTGTTGAAATTATTATTATTATTATTGATGTTCCCAGATATTATATAAGGTCCACAATAGTTTTCATTTTGAGCTTTTTCTAATAAAGGAGCACAAGTGTGTTTTAGTATTTAGCCTACAAAGTGTTTAAACTTCATGTTTTAGGACTGATTTCCAGGCAGTATGACATAAAAATCTGCTTGCAGATAGCCTGTTTTTCAGAGTTTATATTTATAGTCACCTTAATGTTAGTTTCATTGTTCTTGTGCTTTATTCAGTACATCACACAAATGTAGATAAAAGTGAAAACAAAGACACTCAATGTGAAACAGTTGAGTAAAAAGCAGAATTGGCAGCCCGTAGAGGGATGGACTAAATAAAGATATAAAACTAAAACAATTGTACTCCTTAATAGCTTTTGAATTTTATGGACTAAATAATTAATTTTTGAGTGAGTGTTTATGCAACACAAAAACAGAAAAGAGACCAACACAATTAGCACCACTGGGCAGTAAAATAAAACAAATGGGAGGTCCAGAGAACGCAGCGAGAGAGGTCTGTGTTTTTGTTTGTGAGCAGCTTTTCACAGACGAGCTCATTTGAATAGAAACAGGAACACGACCACACAGCTGGGATTTGTTTTGCAAATGACGAGGATTATGGATAGTGGCTCATGCAGCGTGCTCTTTAATTATGTCTGTTTGTTTTCTCTCTCTCGCCCCTCCACAGATTCGTTCTACGATACCTTCCACACCACGGCCGATATGATGTATTTCTGTCAGATGATGGCCGTGCTGGAGGTCATTAATCCCTTGTTGGGTCTGGTTAAGACTGGATTTTTACCTGCTATGATACAGGTAATGCAGAGCGAGACAGTCACTACTCATTTTATTGTGATATCAACAATATGAAAACATTCTGTGGCCTCCGTAGTGTTGATGTGTAGTTATGTTTTTGAGGTTTTCGTCAGCTCCTACAGCAGATCTACAGGCATGATGCAGGTTAATTATGGTTAAATGTATTAAAATGACCAAATCCTGGAAATGATCTATGTTTTTAATAGTATTGTAGCCTCTCAGATTACATAAACCTGGGTGTGTTTGAAACTGGACTGTCAGGAGAATAAACTGCTCAGTGTGACGATTCAAAGCAGGTTTACCAAATGCAAAGCGGAATGGAAAAAATATCTTTTTTTTTTAAATTTCTGCTTCCACGTCAGTCACGAGCTGTTCACACCACTGGCAGCGAACTTTGGGCATTTACATTAATCCAGCCTATAATTATTGATCAAATTTACTTTTGTTTTTGTGGTTAATAATTGTTAATTTTAATTTTTTTTCTTCTTTTAATAGGCTAATAAGTGAGAATTGATTTGAACTGTAATTTATGCTCCGCTGAGGCCACACCGGGAAACTCAGCAGTGGTGAGGGCAGCCAAGAGTCCCATAAACGCTGACCAGCATTGTGAAAAGAGAGAGTGGGAACCCTGTTTATGTATTAGTATAGTATAAATTCAGCTTTACTGACTCCATATTTTGTCCACAGTCAATCAGGGAGGAGGTACCCCAGCTGGTGGAGGGGAGATTGCCTCGATTACAGAAGTAGTTTTGTGTAAAATTAGAATAAATAGGAGGATAAAATCTTCCTCCAGCCGCCTCTGAAGTGAACTTCGAGCGGTTGTGGATTATCTGAGTTTTGCTCCGTGATGTTTCAGGTGGCTGGCAGGAACGTCATTCTGTTCGTTATCTTCGGCAGCCTGGAGGACATGCAGAACAAACCCGTCGTCTTCTTCGTGTTCTACCTGTGGAGCACCAT